GACGTCTCAGCTGATAAAAATATGATTTAACCATGTGATTAACATGAGGTTCCATTTTTAGAGCCACATCCATTTTAATTCCAAGATTAACAATTGTTTGACTAATTTTAAAAGGAAGAGCAGAAAAATCAGGAGTGGAGGAAGACGAGCCATTAGGAGTAAAAACAATAAACTCTGTCTTAAAATCATTCAGCAGCAGAAAATTTTCTTTAACCTCATCAGGCAATCAAGGAGCAGCTGGATGGAGGTAAAAGTCTTCAATGGAACATAAATCTGGCAGTCGTCTGCATAAAGATGAAAGTTAATGTTAAACTTCCTACAGATTAGTTCCAGTGGAAGAATGTAAATGCTAAGTAAAAGGGCGCCGAGGATAGAGCCCTGTGGCACGCCCCAAGGAAGAGCAGCAGAGGGAGATGAACATTCGTCATTCTAACTAATAGACCTGTTGTCAAAGTAGGAGCAGAACCAGTCAAGTGCAGATCCCTTAATGCCGACCAAATTCTCAAGGCAGGACAATAAAATGTCATAGTCAACCTTGTCAAATGCACACAGAGATGCCATACAGAGCGAGCGTCTGTAGCCGAGGATCAGACCACCAAGGTCCCTGCCTTCGTCTATCACACATTGCATCCGATCCTTTTGGCCCCTCCCACAAGTGGTGAGCCCATGGGGAGGGGGACCAGTGTTTCCTCTTCGGGCTGTGCCTGGCCGGGCTCCATGGGTGAAAGCCTAGCCACCAGGCGCTCGCCGACATGCCCCACCTTCAGGCCTGGCTCCAGAGGGGGGCCTGAATCTGGGAGAGGGAACATTGTTTCCATTTGTAACGTTCATCGTAAGGGGTCTGTAGGCTGCACTTTGTCTGATCCCTCACCTAGGACCTGTTTGCCATGGGTGACCCTAACAGCGGCATAAAGCCTCAGACAACGTAACTCCTAGGATCATTGGGATACTCAAACCCCTCCACCATGGTAAGGTGGCAGCCCAGGGATGGGCATTTATGAGTGATATCTCATAATAATGAGAAAGTTCCTTGTTATAAAGTGATATAAATCTCATTTAACAAAAAGGGTTCTCTAAATAACATGTTTAATATCTTGTAATAATGAGATTGTTTTAAAAAAGGTGAAAAGCTGACATCTCTTGGGTTATTTGAATCCCGTCCAGAAGAATCAAAGGATGAAGGTCAGAGAACTTCTTTATGCCTTTTTAAAGTGGGAGTCAATGCCTGGGTGGAGACTTATTTCATCCACACTTCCTTTTAGGAAAACGCTTCTGAAAGAGGCGTCGCCTGGCGGACCGAGAGAGCGGCAGTGAGGCAGTGATAGACGGCTCTCTCTTCAACCCCCCTTGTATGTGCTGTCGGAGTTTCTCAGTCTAAAAATGAGTTGTTAACGAGCGTGCGTGCACTCGCACGTGTACGCAAGCACACACTCACAGTAGACTTGCTGCTCAGGAGAAGAGCAGACACAGATTCTGCAGAATTCTGGAGGATTTCCTGTTAACCGCAATCATTAGATGAAAAGGGGAGGAGGGCATTTTTTTCAAGGAGGCAAGTTGCTCAGAGCGCAAACGTGTCAACGTGAGTGGCTGAGCCAGGTGGAGGTGCAGCTGCCTCACCTGGAGACCAGAGCAGTGCAGTAATTTGCTGACATCACGTTTTTCAGCTTAATTATCAGCCACAGCTGATTCTAAGTAAATGTGGAGCAGAGTTTTTAACCTGAAGATGGAGATATAATTACGGTTTTGGGCCGAAATATTAAATTTAAAGTAAGTTGCACTAAACTGCCACACTAATGATTACACATGTGTACAGCACCATTAGACACTCATCTATACAGGTTATCAGCAAAAAAGGTAAATTTAAGTCTTACTTGTTCTTTTAAAAAGCACTAATAAGTCAGAGGGACATATTTGTCCACTCTTTGGTCATGCAATCCTCTACTTATAAAGCAACAGAGAGCCCTCACATGGATTTCTTGTCCACACAAATTTGCCATACATCTGATTTTTAGTTGAGGTGCAGTTTTCAAAGTAGAAGTTTACTTCCTGTTTGTGCTTTTTCACATTTAAAACTTTGAAACCGTTTTACAATAATAAAATGGTATGCATAAAAAGTATGTCCTGATATTACCTGAATGGTCTTGGGCCCTCTTATCTTTCGGTACTGCTTTGACCTTACAAACCCTTGCGGCCTCTGCACTCCTCTGGCAGTTGTCTCCTTGTGATTCCAAAAGCCAGGACACATACCCATGGCGAGGCGTCCTTCTAATTTTATGGCCCTCGTCTTTGGAGCAGGCTGCCCGAGGACCTCAAGGTCATAGAGAATGTTCATGTTTTTAAGAGCAGGCCCAAGACTCACCTTTTTAGCTCAGCTTTTTCCTGATATCTGTTTTTAGCTGCATTTCCTGTCTTATTAATGTTTTAATTCAATTCAATTCAAATTTATTTATGTAGCGCCAAATCACGACAAGTGTCGTCTCAAGGCACTTCACATGATAAACATTCCAATACAGGTCAATTCATTAAGCTAATCAGAAAAAAGTTTCCTATATAAGGAACCCGGCAAATTGCATCGAGTCACTGACTAGTGTCAGTGACTTTACAGCAATCCTCATACAAGCATGCAGCGACAGTGGAGAGGAAAACTCCCTTTTAACAGGAAGATTTCTCCAGAGGATCCTGGCTCAGTATAAGCAGCCATCCTCCACGAATAACTTTATGTTTTACTATCTCTTAATCAGTTTTTATTAGTTATTTTACTATCCATATTAGCTATTATTATTAATATTAATATAATTATTTATTTATTGATTTATTTTCATTTTACTTATTTTAATCATCCCAGTGTTTCCTCTGTGGGGCCCTCTGCCTCGTGTGTGGTGGCCGACTGTGGCGGCCTGGGCGTTCCTAGGTGTGTGCTTATGCGGTGGTGGGGGTTTCCGCCCTCCCTCCCTGGGCGTCCTGGGTTGGTGCCTTGGCTGCTGCCGTCGGACAGCTACTGCCGATGCAGATGGCTCACCTGCTGGCGTGTCATTCATTACCTAACTGAACTCAGCCTAGTGTTTACTTATGCTGTTTTTTTTAGGTTGTGTGTGTGTGTGTGTGTGTTTGTGGGTGCGTGTGCCTGGCAAATGGGTTGTGGGATGGGGGGAGGGGGGGGGGTGTAAATGTCATAATTGTTTTTATATTTGTGGGGAAGGGATGGGAATATGGGTTATATGGGGTCATTTTAATCTGTTAGCACTTTTAGCTGCATCTTCTTTTGTATGAAAAGTGCTTTAGAAATAAAGTTTGATTGATTGATTACATTAGACAAGTTCCCTTTGTGTGGGAAATGGGTAATAATGAGAAACTTTCTTGTTCAATGCAAGATACGAATTCTATATTTTTTCCTCACACCTACAGCAAAATGCTTCAGTACAAACCGCCCTGACAACTGTAGCAATTAATACATATTATGACCAATAAGATGCGATGATTCCATATAAATATGAAATATCAACCTAATTTATCTTTGAATAACTTAACAACTCACAATAAAATAATCTCCACTCAAAAAAGTCAGAAAGTTTATAAACATATAAAATTTCCCAGCGACTGAAGAGCAAGGATCTGTAACTCAGAGGAGGTAATTTACGTCTGCAGATGCGTGGAGACCTTTAGAAAGCAGTCGTGTGAGGTGTGGAGTGATTTAGTTTGCTTTACTGGGTTCTAATTTTATTAAAGAGCTCCTACATGATTGATCAAAAGTTCAGTTTTATGTGAATCTCATTATTTTCCAGGCGGCACAGTGGTGATGTTGGTAGTACTGTTGCCACTCAGAGAGGTCGCCGGTTCAAATCCTTTCTGCATGGAATTGGCATTCTTTTCATTCATGTGTGGGTTTTCTTTGAGTGCTCCAATTTTCTTCCTTCAGACCAAACATGCATGTCAGGTTGAGCAGACACTCTAAATTGTCTCTTGGTGTGCTTAAGTGTGAGATTGGATGTGTGTCCCTGTGATGGGCTGGGGGCCTGTCCAGCGTGTCCCTGCCTCCCAACCGTTGACTACTGTAGTTAGGCACCAGCTCCCTGTGACCCTACTGAGGAGGAGCTTGCTGTGCTCAGAACAGGTCTTCCTGACCATTTTTAGAATGGTTTGATATATTTTTGGCCCTTTTGCAGGTTTGAAGCTTCTGAAAATAGATGAGACAGGTAAATCTTTGTCAGAGTCAGCAAGATGCTCAACAGAGAGACGAGAACCCACATGAAATGTATGATTCTAAAAGGTTTTTTATATTTATGGAAAGGAGCAGCTCCATTAAAGTGTTTATAGCCAGATTATGAATGTGATTCTGCTAAGGAAATGTTCCTGGTGTGTGTAATTTCATCAGATGTGTGTGCAGGGAGGAGTCCTCTAGTACTGCGGGTGAATTTATGCCAAAGAACAACTCAAGCGACCAAACAACAAACACACTTTTAAATCTATAGATTTTTGAAGCTTTGATTAATTAATTTTTATCTGCAAGTTCACATCAGTTTAGTTGTGTGAACTTCCTGTCTAAATGAACATTTCTATTTTTAAACTAAGAGCTATAAAACACGACATCAGCATGTTTGGGTGAACGCAGCTGCTGACGGAACAGCTTTCAATCCACTCACAGATGAAAATATAGTGAAATAAAAATAGACAGGATCTGCTGTCCCTTTATAATGTGATCAGTGTTTTGCTTCCTAGAAGGATTTGTTCTCTGTGTTCTGTGCTGACTCGATATTGACCGATAAAACATCCTACAGGACACCGGTAATGAATGAAGGATACTTTCAGGTCGGAGCTGAATGACGTGGAATTGATAAACGGTCTTGAACAGAATGTAGCTTTTAATTAATATTAAAGAAATATATCGGAACAAAAAGGCAGAAAGGTTTACCATTCAACAAAGGCTTCAGATTTTTTATATGATGACTTCAGTTTTGTTGTGTCTGCTCTTCTCTGATGCCTTGTGCCTTCTTGCTTTCCAGTATCTGGGCTGCATCGAAGTCCTGCGGTCTATGAGATCCCTGGATTTCACCACTAGGTCACAAATAACACGGTACGTTCTGATCTAATGTGGTTTTCTAACTGCGCTTTAGCAGATTTCATGACTCTTTGCTTATTGATTCATTGAAATCAGGAAGTTTGATCAGATTGTTTTGTGGTAAATCTACACATTACTTTTAGAGCCAAACGTCACATTTCCTGTGTGGAGAACTTATGTTTATTTGATGAGACCTACACGTAACGTGTTATATAAAAGCACTTTTAACTGATCAAAAATATGTTGCTAAAGTAAAACAAAAACAAAAAGACATTTAAATAACCACATTGTTTAATCAATGGCTACTAAATTCTTATAATGTTCCGGTTTCTGCATAAAGCATCTGGGATAACTTTAAAGGGACATTGGATATTGTTTTGGAAGGGATATTGTTACTTTTTTCTTAAGTAAAACATTTTTATGGTCTTTAAAAACATGTTTATGAACTTCTTTGCACAAAATCCCTCTCACTAAAGTAATTTCAGCAGTTTTATTTTTGACATCTTCAGTTCCTTCCAGAATGAGCCGTTTTAGGACTCTGTCAAATGAAAGCCTAATTTATGCCTCTCCATCTGTGTCTGTATGGAGACATGGAACGCCATATGCGTCATTGCGAGGGCTCTCCAGGAGGCTTGCCAGGACAAATGGAGTCAAGCTCACTTTTCTAAAAGTCCATTGAACAAGACGTTGACCACAGGGTTATGATTGGCCAGGATGCCGCTTTTCTTAAATTTGTCAACAGCACCACCATTGCCCCCTCAAAAAATAAAGAGAACCGAAGATATCTAGCGGCAGATATGGAGCAGCTTGAAGAATACCTTGCAGAAAAATTCCAAAAATGTGAATGTTTTATGCACCTGTGACTGGAGGAGAGTAATAGTTCATAGCAAGTGTTTTATTTGTGGATGGAAATGATGGGAAGCATGGGTTTAGAGGTGGTGAGTGCATGAAGAGGTAGAGAAGAATGAGGGACAAATTTATCTCTGTTAAAAAGTATCTGACATACTAAAAACAATATTAACACAATAGCAAAAGCACTATCTTGGACCGTATAAATGACAGCATACCCCCAAAAAACGATAAGCCCTCTGTTGTCCAGATGGGGAATTGCTTTGCAACACTCCCCAAGAGACAGAGAAGTCCGAAGTCAAAACGTCTCCATTAGTGCGTGTGCGTCTCTCCCTCACAGAGCTGACGGTGAAGTAGAAATCAAGCTTAAGAAAACAAGCTGGAGCTGGTCACACCCACCTATCCCCCACTTAGGCTGCTATAAGCTGAGAAGCTCTGATATCTGGAAGGGGCATGGAGGAGAGACTTACACCTCCAGAAATAGCTCTCTCTTGCACATGAGAGGTGGTTCCATTCCACGTTCCTCGTTTGTGACATCACAAACAGGAACTTTTTTTAACGGCCTGTTTTAGACATATGATTCCAAAAATTAAACACTGAGAAAGTGGGTGGATGTATTTTTTTATGTTTGGACTGTTAACAGAGGCAGTAGAGACACATGGCAGCACAAAATGATACAAAATTAACTTTTGCATAGCATGTCTGCTTTTAAAAGCTAATTAAATTACGTAGTTTCAAACTTTTTTGTTTACTTAAATTTTTGAAACAACATTGTCTCACATCCCTCATTTTTGGCTTGCTGGGCTATTACAGTCTTCCAAAATGACCAATGGTAAATGCAAACTTTGTCAAGAATAATGGTATATCCTACAGACCATGTTTGTTGCAGCAGTTTACACAAAGAAGAGTTCAATAACATTGATAGCTTTTTTTGTAAGTAAAAGTTTATAAAGACCTCGTGTTTTATACCAGACCTAAACACACTAACCCTAACTCTAACCTACATTGAGAAAGTCACAAGAGAAGTGAAGCAATAATTTGAAAAGAAATGAAAACAATTGACTTTATGTTGTGAGGACACTGTAGTTTTAGTTTGTGTGATCACTGACTTCTTTGTCTTACAAAGGCGAGAGAAGAGAAGTTTAAAGGGGACTGATTAGAGTTCAGGCTTGTGAGAAATAGAAAAAAATACTGAAAAAATATTATACTTGGATATCTTTGGTATGTTCTTACTTTGTCTAGTTTCTTAATCCATTTTTGGTTCTTTTTAAAACACAGGAAAGGTTTCTCTTTACCTTGCTAACGTTTTCTTTGCCGACTGCAAAACATCCTCAGAGCTGAGGTGTGACAGCATCAGCTCTGATGACGTTATGCAGTCGGCAAACGAAACGTTAGCAAGGTAAAGAGAAACTTTCCTGTGTTTTAAAAAGAACCAAAAATGGAATTATCCTTGGATGTTTTAATTATATTATTCAAAACTAAATAATTAGTTCAATTCATTAAATTCTTCTTGTCGTGCTTAATTTAGTTTTCCTGATCTCTGTTGATCATCACACAAAACTCTGCTCTTCTTAATGATCTAACCTCATTTTATCATCTGTTTACTAACATAATATAATAAAAATACATTCAGACGAAGGTCGTGGTATTGATAATAAAACTTTCCCACGATCTTGAAGCTTGTTTTTTTCATACAGTGTACAAACATATCTATTTAGTAAAAATGGACTGTTATTTGACTTTAATGGCTACTACCGCAGTGTGTGCACAAACAAACGCGTCTGAAAATAGGAGCCAGGTTCCCTGTGGACCAAAGTCAGCCTGCTGATCGCTCTTAAAGCCAATTCTGAGACACATTTGTTTACTTTCTGGTTGGCAAATGACTAAACATAATGCCTGTGTGATGTGCCCACCCTCTTTTGTGTCTGTCTGTATGTCTTGTTGTATGTCGCACACTGATTCGAGTGACTCAGAGACTGACAATGACTCAGTGGCTCCATTGTGTCAGAGAAAGAAAAAGACGTTTCTGGGAAATAATAAGCAGACGATGCCAGCAGAAATGAATTATATTGGAGGTATTGTTATGATTTGCAATAGTTAAACCTAATTTTTTATCATGTTCACTCTAAAATCTTAGATATTACCAAAGGTTTATTTTTATAGAATCCTGAAAAATCGTTAAATCTTCATGCTGTTTGTTTACGTTTTAGAAACGCCTCGTCGCTTTCGAGCCAGTATGAGTTGATTTTAGTGACTTTTACATGTTGTAGTTTAACTTTATTTATGATTTTATTTATGTTTATGCTTTTTTGTTCAGCACTGTTGGCTGTGTTTAAAGGGGCTTTTTAAATAAAGTTGGCTTGTGATGCAGCCAGTGAATCAGTTAGCGTCATGTTCACTTTTCAGCATGACTTGCTGAGGTTTGTCATTAACCCGCAAACACCAGTCCTCTCACTCCCTTTGGTGTGTGTGTGTGTGTGTGTGTGTGTGTGTGTGTGTGTGTGTGTGTGTGTGTGTGTGTGTTACTTTAATTGAGAAAGTTAGTGACAGAGAAACTAAATGCGAGAGATGAAGAAAGTTTCTATAATTAGTTCAGTTAAGCTGGAATAGATAAAGTCTCTGAGTATTTGATTTATGTCCTTTGGGACCTTTTAACCACTTTTAAATCAGCTGTTGAAAAATCTCAGTGAGGTGATGCTGACAATAGCTCACTTGACATAGTAAGTGTCCCCTCACTTAGAGCTCAGCACTTCATTTATGACGTTTGAGGTTTGCTGCCTAACAGGAAACTAAGAAGGTGAAACCAAACAGACAACACATAACATGTTCTATTTTTAGTCATTTTATCATTACTTTATTATTTATTGCTAAAACTCACTGTGTGGAATACACTCAGACAAAGGGGTTTGCATGGATCCTAACTAAAAGTCAATAACAGAAAATGTGTTCACTGGTGATTTATTGTGAATTACTTTCATGATTATGATCATAAAATGTCAAAATAAAAGTATTGAATCATTTTAATTTGTTTATTTATTTATTAAACCTGCTCAAAGATCAAACTTTCTCATCTAATTTGATCTAAACTAATGTAAATCAGCATATAGCATGAGTTTAGTATGTGTTACAGCTCTATACTAGACCTTGTAATAAGAAGCTGACCCCCTCCCTTATTTGACATCCCCAATCTATATTTCTTTTCCATCAAAGTTAGCTGAAGTTTTTTGCTAAAGCGGGTGATACTGTGACTCTTATCCCTGTTCCCTGTAGGGAAGCCATCAGCTTGTTGAGTGAAGCTGTTCCTGGAACCAAAGGAGCACCGAGGAAGAGGAAGGTACATGGATGAACTGGGAGGGACGGAGGGAGGGCTAAAACGCTGGTGCGATCCCTGAAGAATTCATGTGAAATGAAACTGCTGGCTGGGAAAAGAGGAAACAACATTAGATATTAATTTACCCTTCCATGTTCTATAAATAGCACCCCCTCTGCTTTCCTCTTCCTGTATATGAAACAAGAGGCAGAGGATGGAGATGAAGAGGCACGATTCTATGTGTGTGTGTGTGTGTGTGTGTGTGTGTGTGTGTGTGTTAATGTGAGGTGTGACATGAAGCATTACTCTGCTTTCTAAAAGCTTTCTCAAATGCCACAGAAGAGGAGACAACGCGTCTGAAGCGTGAATGGGTGTTGGATCTGAGTCGATTTTATTCTGGCTGTGAGATAAAGACAGGGAGAACGTTACAAGCGTTTAGCTAATTTCATCCAGCCAGGTTGATCCTTTGTTTTTAACGACTGACATGGCAACATGTGTGTTTATTAGCATTGAAGTCGGATGTTGAGTGGAAGTAGTTCTAATCTTAAATAAGGTAAATTTTACATGAACTTTGCTGTCCGAGTGGTGGGAGCAGTGCTTGAAGTGGGATTAAATAAGTGGTGTCACTCCCATTAGAAAAGGCTAATTTGATCTGCTCCTATTATAAAACTTCAACACCTGGACTTTTCTAACCTGAACTGGATTACAGACCGATAGCAGATTCTGTAAAACGTGAAAGTTTAGTAAAAACACATTTTAGCGTTTTTTGGCATCTGGACCACATTGAGATTGGTCTAGCTCGATAACTACAGAACCTGGACACTTGAAACCTAGATTATTGTAGACTCAGCAGATTCCTTTAAACGTAGTTTCTGATTAGTGAAACTTTTATCTGATTTGTGAAACGTCGACAAAAGCTGATTTCTGCGGGGGTGGGGCTATTTTGTGACCCTCCTTTTCATTGCAAAATGACTATTTTCACCTCCCAAGGGTGCCACTGCAACCACTATCCATGAGTTAGTCCAGATTAGTTTTAGATGTGGTCAAACCAATCACACACAAGTCACAGATTTGCAGCCTACAGCGTCCACATAAATAAATTGAATAAAAACATCTTCCAACTCTTCATGACACAACCAACTGTAGCTTGTTAATTTACCACTCATGGAGCTAGCTGCTCTGGATGGACTCTGTTTAGTAGAATTGCCACAAAGACTGCAAACCCCCGTTTTATGAAGAAAATCCACATCTGGCTGACTCAAAGCTAACTGTGTTTTCCTTTCCTCCTCGCAGCCACCGTCTAAAGCTCTGTCCAGCATTTTGGGCAAGAGCAACCTCCAGTTTGCCGGCATGTCCATCAACCTTAATATCTCCACCTGTAGTCTCAACTTGATGACTCGTGACTGCAAACAGGTCAGTCTGCAACCTCTTATGGTTAAAATGGATGATTGGTGATATAATTATGTTAAAGGGAATATAAGAACTGAATAATTATGCAGAGTAAATATCAATGAAGTACTTTAAATTAAAGGGATGTTTGTTTTCAGGCAGGATCTTTAGGATTATAACACAGTTGGCTAAAATGGTCCAGACCTTAGAGAGATCCAACAAGTGATACACGGAACATTCATGCTCTTTTTGTGTTACCAAATGTTTAAAATAAGCTAAAAATGCTTGAATTTGACATATAAAGTTAGTAAAGTTCCCCCTTTGTCCTTTTCCATGCCCTCTAGTGAGCTAAATAAATTATTTTATGAGCCTAAAGCGTTAAGCAATAGATTAGAGTTTCCACAAGATGGAGCTGTCAAAGTGCCCCGGTTCCCAACTGTTTAAATGTTTTCGCCTGTTTTAGCATTAGGAGAGGTGTGCTAGCATCATGGGTGCCAGATTCCTGCCAGTTTTAGATTGTATTTCCTGCTTGAACACATTTACTGTACATACAATGGATAAAAAGCTGAGTTGTCCAATGGGCGGTACCCACTACCACTATTTTGGCTGCGTCACATGTCTCATCTCTCCCAGAAAATAATAAAATGGAACACCCATCAAACACTGAGCCAATGTAGCTATGAGCTAACCAAAGCTAACAAAGGTTGGTGGTGCTTTTATCCAGAAAACTACGGTTGAGTGACTCTGCTACCTTCTGCCTAGTAGGCTGAAACATTTTTAACATGAGACAGAGGCTTTTGGCTCTTCTGCTGCTTGTCATTCAAACTTACACACCCCATAAGTATTCATAATTTCAACGTATAATTACACCTAAATGGATGAGTTACAAGAAAATACATCCCCTTCAGAGTTGTCATGATGGTAAACTAGGCCTATTAAACTTAAAATATTTTTTGAACCAGGTTGTAAACATGCTTATTTATGCCGGGAAGATGTATTTTTAATATGGGATTAAAGAAGAATTTACTCCTTTCTGAAACCAGCTCCTAGTGGATGAGGGGGGAACTGCAATGTTTGTCGCTTCCGCGCTGGCTTCACATTTGGCAGGTGGAGATCGCCTCTTGCTTGAACTCTGCAGAAATGAGTGATTAGAAGATTCTGCAGAGTCCGATGAAGGCTTAGGAAATCATTTAGAATATAGAATCAGGTGTGTTTAGAATAGAAAAGAATAGATTGGAATATACTTTATTTATCCCACAGTGGGGAAATTCGCTTGTTGAGCAGGAACATATCAAAAACATTACTTGGTGCTGCAAGGCTAATTGTGTGCACAATCTGAAGGGGAGAGAGAGCAGGGGCGGGAGCTAGCCTTGCAAAATTTTAAATCTCTTCTCCTCTCCCTGATTGCGTCACACTACGGACCACAACTTTATGTCCGAGTTTTAGTTGTTTTTTTTAACTCTGCTGTTTTCATAGAATTCTTTTGACTGCACCAGAGGATTTTAGCTGCAGAGCTAATTATCTGTTGCACTTCTGGTTGACGTTTCTCAATTAATTTTTTGGAATTTTTTTTTAAAATACATGCAAACTGAAAAGTTTGGAAAAGTTTTATAAAACAGAATTCACATGAAGATTAGCATGGCAGAAATCTACTCTGGCTTTGGCCCCTGCACTGACTAGCTGTTAGCTGATTTATATTTGTCCAAACTGATATTGCTAAGAGATTCTACAGCAGGTAACATAAAAAATTTTTCATAATCTTTACACAGAAACACACTTAAATACATAAATGAATAAATAAATGTACACGATTTCCATATGGCTATGAGAATTATTTGCTATTCTATAATTAGATTATTAATTAGATCCTTTTTTTGAATAACAGATCATAGCCAACCATCACATGCAGTCCATCTCCTTTGCATCAGGTGGAGACCCTGTAAGTGTTTCAAACAACATGAATGGATTAAAAGTGTAATGCATTACTTAATAATTACATTATTGTAACTTTTCTAATGCATGGGAGCAAATGGTATTTATGTATGTAGATGTATTTTGTTGAATCATATAGTTTTATTATAACCGTCTTTTGTTATAGGACACGACGGATTATGTTGCCTATGTAGCAAAGGACCCCGTCAACAGAAGAGGTGAGTGTGTTTTTGTTCAGTTCTTAATGGGTTCTCTGTTTTACAACATGTTCTTTAACATTTTGTCTCACCTTCATCAGCTTGTCACATCCTTGAGTGCCCTGATGGATTGGCTCAGGATGTCATCGGCACCATCGGCCAGGCGTTCGACCTTCGGTTCCAGCAGTACCTGCAGTGTCCCTCCAGCAAACTGCCCTCCACGTGAGATGCTCAGGATAAATACACTGGATCTTGATGGTTTAATGAATCTCATTTAAATAATTAGACTCTCGGCCAGTCAGTGGCATAGGCGTCATTTTAACCGGGGATGCCGGGGACATGTCCCCGGCAAAATTTGTGATTGGCAGCTGTGTCCCCCCCACTTTCAAAAATGCCTGCTGATGAGGATTTTTGTTTTACCAGCTCAGATCTTATACCAGGGTTCGGCAACCTATTCCCATCAAAGAGCCATTATTACCCATTTCCCACGGTAATTTTGGACCTACCTTAATAAGCAGTGACTTAAGTGAAGCAGGCAGGTCGCACTAGAAAATTTAGTTTGAAAATATGTCATAAATGTGTTCCCCCGTCATTTTTATTTATAAAATATGAAGTAAAAACTCACAATTTAATTTTCATTCATTTGTCATTAATATTTAGTCTACATCCGTGCGTTAAGTGGACCATCTTCCAGTAAAAGCAAAGCATCCAGCCCATCTCTCCAAATGCGTAAAATGTGCATCAGCCGTTAGTTAGGCGCGCCGCGCGCACCATCAGCTGATCAGCCCAGACAAGAGCAGAGCAAATAGAGAAAGAATAGAGGATAATTCTGTCTGGATGTGGATGGAGATTACATTTTACATCAGCCTGATCATCATTTAAATACGTAAACCATCACCTATCTTCTAGTCCATGCTATCAGCATTATTTTAATTGGTGTGTGTGTGTGTGTGTGTGTGTGTGTGTGTGTGAGTGTGTGTGTGTGTGTGTGTGTGTGTGTGTGTGTGTGTGTGTGTGTGTTTTCCACTTCAAATACTGGTCTAACCAACCAGACCAGCGTGTCCAGTAACATATTAATGTTACAATTAAACAGTTTCACTTCATGTAGGCTAGGAACGTTTCACCTGCCGTGGCCCAACCGCTTCTGCTCCACATAAACTTTGTGCGTGATCAAATGTCTCTACGCGTCATGCGTCTCCATATTAGAGACGGGAACAAGCGCTGTTCAGCCAAAGTTTCATAATTTCATAAAAAGAACATTTTTCCAAGTGACACATCCCTCAGAGAGACCGGGTTTCCAGACTGTTTCAGTGGGAGGAAATCTTATCGCATGCGCCGTGGTTCTGCGCTGCGAACCCCAGATCTTCAGCTCACTGTCCACCGTGGGCGCTCTGAGCCGCGCTGAACACAGTGTCCAGTATAAAGCTCTGATGTTCTGATGGGAATATTTTACCTCCACGATGTGCGTTAACGATTAAAATGTCTGCTCATCCATGCGCATCAGTGTGCGTCGGGGTAATTCTTTCAAACCAAGCAACATCCTTGAGTTCATCTGTCAAAATAAACAGTCAAATGGAAATATATGTAACCTGCCATTTAACTGTTTTGCCTTCCTGTGAAGATTGTTGCAAAGAGAAACAATTAAACTTGATTAACCCCAGAGCCACCCAGAGAACCAGAGCACATGCGGGAAGATTCCTCCCACTGAAGCGAGTGTTTTCCAAACCCGGTCTCTCAGAGAGACTTGTCACTTAGAAAATGTTCCCTTGATTATGAAACTTTGGCTGAATAGTGCTTGTTCCTGTCTCCAATGTGGTGACACATCCAGGAGCCTGTCTGAGGAGAATCCCAGAATCTCACATTGTCTTCAGCTCATAAAGCGCCTATGATTACGCACAAGCGTGACGCGTCAACCCGGTCTCACAGTAAGACCGGGTTGGAACTGTTCAGGTTTACGCAGACAATCTTTACATTTAGAATTGGCATACAGATTTAAAATTAATACAGTAAAATATAAAGCATTTTATTTAAATATCCATTCATTATTTTACAAGTACAGAGAGCCGCATCAGATGGATGGAAGAGCCGCATGCGGCTCCAGAGCCGCGGATTGCCGACCCCTGTGCTAGCCTACTTTATTGTCCCCAGCAATTTTTAAACCCCACTCAAGTGTATGGTTATTGTCCCCAGCAATTCTGAAAACAAACTGACGCCCTTGGTCAATGGACTGTCTCTGCCTTCACTGGTGACCAAGATGTTAAAGTACACAGAAAATGTTGGTTTATTGCAACAAAAATCCTTTGCTGCAATTAGAAAATACCCAAAGAGGCTGTTTTGTTAGTATTGTGCTGGTCAGATTTAAACAGCTCTGCAGCACAGGGACTCTGTGATAATATTTCAGATGTTTTCAGGAAACACAGATCTGTGCACGCTGTTGATTGAAGCTGTTGCATCACAGATGCAGGTGTTGATTTGGCATTATCTTTGTGATAACTGTCTGTAAAATCTGTCTAATGCAGCTGTATACCATCATCTGTGTGCCCTTTGTAAACAGGATTTTACAGTCATGTTCTGAGAGAACTCACTCAAAGTTAGACCTAGAAAAACATTTGTTCTTTCAATAATATGTTCTTGTACTATTTTAGTCAAATATGAGGTTTTAAATACTCTTAAATCAACACATCCCCATAAAGTCTATTAATAATAGTGACACAGATAATGAGATTTATATTTTGCACATCAGGGTGTTAAACATGGAGGAGTTGCCTTGGACAGAAGAGGAGGAGGAGTCAGCAGAACACCCTTACTACAACAACATCCCTGGCAAAATGCCACCTCACGGAGGCTTTGTTGACAGCCGGCTGACCAATCAGAACGCAGCATCAGATGGATGCCAGGTACAACTCAGTTAACCTGAATATCTCAGGGACATTCAAAGGGTTGATGTGAATTTTAGGGTCAGAATATGACTGTGACGTACAAATCCATCATTTAAACTATTTGATGGTCAAATCCTGAAAATGTACAGCAGCTGTACATTTGTTACTATGGTAACAAATGTACGGCTGGTACTATGGTTTACGCTATGGTAGCATAAACTCATAATAATCAGACATAAACTTGAACTTTGACTTCTGTTTATTTACTTTTGTTTGTTCGTTTGAGTGATGTTTTTAACATTGAACCGTTTCTGCACATGCTCAGATGGGTCCAGGCTCAGTGGATCAGACGTATTACCAGGGCCGACATTGTGAAAACTGGGCAGATGAAAGGAAGCCCATCTTCTTGCAGCAAGGTAGGAACGAACGTCCCAACCTTGAGCTCCGGATGCATTCATTTTCAAAGCACCGTGACTTTGATTGTTTCTCTGAACGTCCAGGATCGTTTGATATCAGCAGCCTGCCAGACAGTAAAGGTCAGACGCCTAAAATAGGAGACATGCCCACGTATGTGAACACCCAGCAGATTGATGCCCAGGTGCTCACAGCTCTCCAGGCAGAAGTCGAGAATGTCACAAGGAGCGTGGCAGCTGCAGCCAAAGAGAGCCCGCAGAAGGACCTGTTTGACATGAGTAAGACTCGATGAATGCATGATTCAAAAAGTAAAAGTAGAATACTTTTTAAACTGTCGTAAGTTAGTTTAGATGCTTATTTTTTACAAGTTGACATTTTAGCTAATGTGTCATGAAAGATCCAATTTTCATAGTAGTTTCCTACCTAAGGAAACCCACCAGATTGCATCAAGTCACTTAGGAATGGGTGATATGGTCCAAAATCTGTATCACAACATATCATTGTCTTCTGTTTATACATGTAAAAATAATCTTGCTTACCCAATGAATTGTAGAACAAATAATTCTAAAAATGTATAGAATACATTTCAATATAAATAATTATTAGAAATTACATTTAATGTTCAAAATGTATTTAAATAAAAACAAAACATCTCAAATTCTTTTATGTTAATGTTCTTTTTTCAAACAATGAAACAAAAAAACTCATAAAATGAATAAAGATGAAGATATTTTTACTAAATACAAGCTAAATGTGATGAAGATGCTACATTTTTAATATTCTGATCTAAAGTGAAAAATGCAAAAACACAAATAACAATTCTTTCTGCTTTCCTGATTCATTTTTCATGTTTTATTTTGTTTTTGCTCATAGAAGTTAAGTTTTACTTCAGGAGTGAAGAACTGCAAGTAGAATGATGCTCTGCTGCATTTTTTGTCAATAATATTACAATAATGTTTGAGGTTTTTCCAGTTTCTTTCACTTTTGTTGAACTGCTCTGAGATCAGCAGATCCATGGTCCGACCCACCGCAGTTCTCTCCAGCAGCGCAGAACCAGAGAGAGGGAGGAGCTGCTTTCAGACTAGATCTGTTTAATTTAACAGGACTGTGGGGGAAAATTTACCAAACTAAATCATAGGAGGTGTCCAAAACGTTGGAAAGCCTTGTTTGTTCATCTTGTGTTAAAAAAACGAACAGTATTTAAGGGATTTGGTGTTAACGAGCTGTTAAAGCTGATACAACTTTATTCTCACCCGACATATTTTACGGACAATGTTTTTCTGCTCACCATCCAACTCCAAACCAGGGGTCTCATTTATCAAGCTTGCTTACGCACAAAACGAGGTCGGAAAACTGCGTAAGCAACTTTCCACTCAAATTTTAGGATTTATGAAAGAAAACTTAGCGGAAAAATGTGCACAACTTTAAGTTGACTAAGGACCTTGCTTACGCACATTTTGGACATGGAGAGCACCTTTAAACATCTTTGGGATGTTCTTACTGTGTTTAGTTTCTAATTCCATTTTTGGTTCTTTTTAAAACACAGGAAAGGTTTTTCTTTACCTTGCTAACGTTTCGTTTGCTGACTGCAAAACATCCTCACAGCTGACGCTGATGGTGGCGTCACTTCCTACTCCGTTTATCATGTTTCCCATCATTTCCGCCCATGTTTGCTCGGTATTTTGTACTCCTTCAGTCACGAGTGAATAAATGTTCATATTTTTGGACTTTTTTCCTCTACGCATTCTTCAGTCTGTTTGGGGTCTGCCGCTAAACATTTTTACTTTTTAATGGGGCAACAGCGGTGTTGGTGATACATTTACAGGTAGCTGCATGCTGACCAATCACACGCTAGTGGTCTTGTTGTATTTGTGTCTTCGCACCGGCGCAGACGGAGAAGTATAAATCAGGCTTTAGGCTGCTGCCCCCGTGACCCAACCCTGGATAAGCGGCGTAAAATGGATTTTTTGTTTTCTTTTTATTTATTTTAAATGCTTTTAAAAAAACGTAAAAGTTTTTCTGTTTTCTGTTTTTAGTTTTCTATGTAAGGAAACCCAGCAAATTGCAGAGGTGTGGACTTGAGACACATGACTTGGACTTGAGTCAGACTCGAGTCACCATTTTAATGACTTCTGACGACTTGATAAAATCTATAAAGACTTACGACTTGACTCGGACTTGAACGGCAATGACTTGCGACTTGAATCGACTTGCATCTGCTGACTTGATGATGACTTGAGCATATTTTATATTTTAGCACAAAAGCGGCACGACATGGACAAAAATCATAAATCATTCTTGGTTCTGGGTTTGATTTACTGCTAAAGGCAGCAGCTCTTTGTTTATAATCAGTTTCAGTTGCTCTTTCTGCTTGTTTGAGCAAACAAATGAAGCTTTAGTTCTGGAATTTATTTATTATCATCGTCATTAAATAGAAGTTGGGCAGATGACTTGATTATGACTTGAAAATTCAAAGTTAAGGACTTGGACTAGACTTGGAGTTCTGCATCATTAACTTTGGACTCGACTTGGACTTGGTTGTCTTTGACCTGGACTTGACTCGAGACTTGACTGGACAGACTTGTGACTTACTTGTGACTTGCAAAGCATTGACTTGGTCACACCTGTGGCAGATTGCATTGAATTGCTGACTTGTTGTGTCTGTGACTTACTCCATACTAAACAAACATGTATTTAACCTTTATTTAACGAGATGAGTCGATTGAGAACTCATTCTTATTTACAATGACGATCTGACCAAGAGGCAGCAGCAACAGACGCATAATTAGCTTTACACCAAAGAAAAACAGATAAGCAAAAAATATACAAAATAAAAATAAGATGAAACAGTTATACATAAAGACAAAGGACTGTTCTCATATACAATATGTACAAGCAATCAAAACAGACGTAAAACAATCTTTAAGTACTCTGAGTGACAGCGGAGAGGAAAACTCCCCTTTAAGATGAAGAAACCTGGCTCAGTACGAGCAGCCATCTGCCGCGACTGACTTGAGGTTTGAGAAGACAGATCAGATACACAAAAATAAATGAACAGAAAGTAAAAACATTCCAAGCAGGGGAGGGTGAATGTTTAGTGGTTGCTGTGTTGTTTTCATCAACGATGATGACGAAATTATTTCGTTGATGCCCCTTTTTCACACGAATGACTGTTTTTATCAAGTTTATGACGAATGTTTTAAAGTCAGTGTGTCAGGATTAGTGTCTCTTCTCATCTTTTCTTTTCCCTTTGATTTAATTTTTATATTTTTTTGCCTCCTTATTGTTCACTTTCACTTCCTCTGCTGTGCAGCTACAGCTATCTTCTTCAGCAGTCAGCATTCAAACAGCATTTCTGCAGTCATTTATCTAGTTTTTACTATTATGTTGATACATAGATATAATAGCTTATTTTCAGTTTATGGCATCATTGTGCTCTGATTTTGGGGTCATATGACTCTGTCATGTCTTTTTTTGTTTGTCAGAACCTGAAAGGTTGAATAACTCTTTATATACTTATATAAATTATTTTTATGCAAAATGTATTTTAATTTAAATTTGCAGTTCTCACTCTGCCCTCATCTGCTCCAGAGCCGTTTGAGGAAGCCATTCAATCCCAGTCCCAGAGTTTGTCCCAGGGACAACCCCAGAGCCATGTGTCCAGTCTGAACAAAGCAGCGTCGGTGGACAACTCCAGCCCTCTACTTGTAAGATCGTTGGCCTTCCGTGCACAGGAAGAGTTGGAAGGCCAGACATGGTACCATGGAAAAATGAGCCGCCGAGATGCAGAAAAACTGCTTAAAAATGATGGAGACTTTCTTGTCCGCACAAGTACCACCAATCCGGGGTCCTACGTTCTGACAGGCATGCACAATGGACTTGCAAAACATCTGCTGCTCGTGGACCCTGAGGGAACGGTAAGCAAGGAAACTTTAGATAGACAATTTTGTGAACGTGTGAAAAAAAACCTTTGCGTAACCGTAGAGACGAAGAATTTAATAGGCCACTATTAGAACTTTGAGGTAATTTTATGATCTTCGTGACACTTGTGTCTTCATTTCACTGGGTCAACCCGAAAGGAATACTTTCTGGGCCATTTAAGGGACCAAATGAGTACCTGACATGTATTCAGAAAGGCTCGTGAGAGATGCCGGGTGGGAGTTGTGATTAACTCATGCTGATTGATTACTTCATTGAACCAGTGTCCCGGTACAACTACGTTTTGTTTTAGTACAACCTTTCCAAGAACAGACAAACAGCACATGAAACACATAAACAAGAACAGGCTAACTGTGGGCATGCAGGTGGGGCAATGAGGGAGAAAAAAGAGCACCTCAACCCTGACCCCAACAGAGGGCAAAGCCGGGGTACAGAAAAAACACCTCACATTCAGACAATCACATCGTTATCAAACGTGCGGTGGGTAGCAGGGCAAGGCAAGGCATCTCTTTTAGCACATTTTAAACACAGAGGCAATTCAAGGGGGGGGGGGGGGGATCTCGCAGCCACATAGCAAGGCCTTCAGCCTCCGAGAGGGAAGGAGAGTTCAGGGGAGGAGGAAAATGTTGAAATCATGGGAGGGTGTGTGTGTGTTTGTGAAATGTTGCATGTTGCGTCAGTAATAAGTCCATCACCCCTCTCCCAGTTCAATCACAGTGTCTCTTGTCTGGGATGTAATGATACATACTGTTTGCAAACTGATCCAAGGTGTTCACAGACCCAAGAGAAGAACGGGGAAGGAGAGGGTCAGAGCATCCATCCATATCCATCTCTAGCAGAGTTTGAAGTTCTTCAGCCTTCAAGGCCGACACCAGGGAGCTAAATTCAGATAATAGAAATTGTTTTGGAGCAGGCCAGAGATTAAATTTCTTCTCTGCCTTCTGCGGTCTCAAGGCGACGTCCAAACAGCTGAGTCATGGGGTCAGTTTCCACCAAGTCAAACTGAGAATTTCTCAAAGCTGTTTTCCATTCCACGTACAAGTTCTGAAACCACAGCCCGTTTGGAGCTCAGAGCATCCAGCTAACAATTCAGCTCGTGTGACGCATGATTCTGAGAGCTCACCGCATAACATGTTCCTTCATTGAGCTCTGGCAACTTGCCAATTGCTCCCAACATCTTCAGGACCTTCTGATACACCAGGAACCCACCTGCTCCAAACAACAGCAAATTACATCGCAGATGTTGCCAAACAAACGGCATTTGTAAAATTGGAAGAGATACTGGTGAGGTAGAAAGGAAGGAAAAGAAAATAAGCAGTGTTCATGATGCTTTAAAATTGCTGTTTCTAAACTCCCTACACCAAAAAATGGTCCCCCACAACGCCATAATTCACAGGGCTTTGTTGTCTCACAGAGCGTCTCAAAATCGGCTAATATTTTGTTTACTGAGTTCCGCTTTTATCACTCAGCTCTTTACCTGTCATCAAAATGGATGAAATCATTGCTTACATTTTTTTTACGCTTTTGATGTCCGTGGACACTTTTTGGCGCTGACATCCATAACTGCCAAACAATTTGCGTTACGCTGACGTCTCAGCAAAGACTTGAAGGGGCTGATATTTTTATGGCGACGCAACGGCTGAGAGAACTGAGCCATTGTATCTCCCAGTCACTTTTACCCCACCCACAGATTTCCTGGAACTCCTATAGTGGACACATATGGAAGAATTACAGTCTCACCTGAGTATGCATCTTTTAGAGATGGAGTTTATGAAACACAATTTTTATTCTGTGAAATTATGTATTTGGCTGTTTTTAACCTAACATACCCCAACAAAAATATCATTTGCAAAAATTCTACAACAAAAAGTCAACAACTGAGGTCCTGGTGACCCAAACCAAATTAATTGTCACTTGATCGAGTCGAGTCTTTTAGCCAATCAAATTATGCTCCTCTGATCACGTGACTTAACTCAATCGAGTGACAGTTACTTTGGCTTGGGCCACTAAGAGGTCACCTCAGTTATTGATGTACTTTTAAGTGAAAAAAATTTAAATACAAAAAAAGTAAATTTCTGGTGAGACTGTATTTTTCCTTAGTAAACATGACTAATATGTTTTTGCTTTGTTCAAAGGTACGGACAAAAGATCATATATTTGATAGCATCAGTCAACTCATTGGCCATCACCGTGACAACAATCTGCCAATCGTGTCAGCTGGGAGTGAACTGTGTCTCCTTCAGCCCGTTGAACGGAAACTGTGATGCTTGCAATGCCTGCTGGGAAACAGAAAGCTCTAAACAGTCTCCTAACCTTGAACTTGAAGACAGAAGGCGATGAGAGGAAGACGAACTCTTCAAAACCATCCTGCTTTGCCAGAGTCGCTGGAAAAACATAAGATTTGTTTAAGACTAAAGAAAATATTTATAGAATTGTTATTTTGTTGTGATGACTGAAATGCTATATTTTTCAGAAGAAACGGCTGCATTTGGACATGATATCTTCATTTGGTGTTTTAAGAGTACAAAGGAGGAATTGTTCTTGTAGTTTAGATGAAGTCAAATCAAGCCTCAAAGAGGCGTTGAGAGTATTTTAGAATAAGATTCTAAAAGTTTAGTTTTGTCAGTCAAGCACAAACAGTATTTCTACAGGTTGGTGATCACAGGAAAGCTGTTTTTAATAAGTTGTGTAAGAACAACACCTTTAAGTGTGACACCTGAATAGTCTCTACACGGAGGTTAGAACAGAACTTGTTTTTGCTTTGAGCCGAACACGGACGCCGCTCTCAGAGCCGTCGGGCTTTAACGATCAACTTTTTTTACGAAGTGTTTCCTCGTGTCACTGCAGCTGCATGACATGAAGCCAACAGTTCTCGCGGCCATGTTTGTACACCCCTTGATTAGGAGGAGGTGCTCGTGTTTACGCTGACACTGTAAAAAATTGTTCTGCTTATCATCCAGTGATGATTTTCACTTGGTTTCTTTTTAGGTGTTTTAGTTGGTGATTTGTTTTTGGTGCTTGACTATTCCAGCTTGTAGTTTTTTTGTTTTTTTATTAACACGTTTATTGTTTTAGCACACTTTTAACAATTGGATTTTTTATTTGACTGATGCCAAAATTAATAGCACAATCAAACTCTGTCAGACACAATTAGAAGGTGGTGTTCACGATTTATTTTTCAATATGACAACTTTTTAGCAACTAGATGTCACTATAGCGCTTATTTAGCCCAACTCAGCTGTCTTAGTTTAACACAAAACAGGTTTTCAGCCATTTCAACTTAATGGTTTATTTACATGTGGCTGTCATGTGTACACAATGGTTCAGACAGACAACTTTTTCTGTTGGAAAATTAAATCCAGATTTGGCCACACTTTTCGTTCGTAAAGGACTCAAATGGATACCAAATGAAAGGGGCCATTGTGTTTGAAATGCACTTGCCCACTTCAGTTGAACCAAAATCAGTTCAGTGAGTTTGACAAGACAGATGCAATGTAATACAACGTGCCTGTGTTTTGCTGCAAGATGGTGTGTACATATTTGCATCTCACTACGAGACGTTTAGCCAGTTTAAAAGACAAAAGAAGCATTGAGGATTTTCTCAAACTCAACTTTTACTTCTGCGGTGACATCATCTGTTCAAATCAGGGATAATATGAAGGCATAATAGGCAATTTGTGGAATAAATGGAAAGTTGTGCAGATTTTATTTTGAACAAAGCATAAAGAGAAGAAACAACTCCATACTTGAACCTCACTCACTGCTAACAGAACAATTAGCTTTGAAGAGAAATGAAATGACCAAACACACTGATAAGGACATGACGTTTCTCCAGATTTCTGTTTTTGAATATGTGCCTTTTCTTTGTACAAACAGTGTTTTTTTTCTCTCCCTTCCACGTGCAATAGCTGATCTTCGATGGGGCATGCCTGTTCACTTGAGGTTGTGTTTTCGCCCTGCTGCGTGTTGCTGCTTGAGGCTACTGTCCTCCCTCTAAATCTTGGTCTCTTTTCCGTTCCTCGCTCCCTCGTCATGGATATGTATTATAAGTGTATCATTTCCAGGATTATAAATACAAAATTGTTTTCATCAAAAGGGGAGTCACACAAGCTCACTATTTTGGGACAGGTAAACAGAAAAATAGGAAATTAAAATGAGTCCAAATGATGTTTACAAATGTTTAATCTTTTAGTTGTATGGGTTTGTCATTATTCTGTATGACTGTTGGCAATAAAATAGTGAATGTGTAGAATTTTCTTGTCTGTGATGCAGGCTTGAATAATGTGTTTTTCAATTTATTCTTTAGGATATATCTGCCAAAATATAAATGTTAAATTATCTTGTAATTAATTGTGTTTCTTTTAGACACCTGGCTATGGGTTTTCTTGTTAATGATAGAGTGTCTGTTTTTCAAAAATATTATAATGTTTAATAAATTAGAAGTTCTAGACAGCTCTCATCAGATGTGAGCTTGTGGAAGAAGTTTGATGTAAGAAATGAAGCATTTTAAACAATATTAGGGTGTTTTATGGTTTCATTGAACATGCGGTAAATAACTATTGATAAATGGGTTTTTTTCCAGCACAAAATAACTCATTACAACTAAATGTATCAGAAAGATGAATAATGGTAATGTACAGTAAGGTCAGAACTGTGTTAATCAACAAGAACACCACACAATTATCAAAAGCGTTTTTCAGGATGATTTGCTTACTCAGAAGGGGCAGGACCTAAAACCAGTACTGAAACCAACCACTAGGGGACCATGCTTTCCTTTCACTTCAGTTTGTGGGTTTGATCTTAGTTTAGCTTCAGTAGTTAGCGCCATTTCTGTAGGCAGTTGAACAAACCAACATTTAATCTGCAGAATTTTATTTTATTGCACTTGAATTGAATTTATGTTCATATGGGTGGGTTGGAGGTTTGAGTCCCGCTCAGTCACTCACAATCATTGTGTCCTGGGGCAAGACTTTTTTTTAAAAACAATTTAAGCTATTCCGTCAAAAGTGGGTTTCAGTGAATCTGTGAGTAAAACTTTTTAATACTTCACGTTTAACAGCACTCTGCAGCCCTCTGGTGACCAGAAACCACATTTAACTGTTTTGCGGAGTGGATAGGTGCCCTGTAAGAGGGGCTCTTTACTGCTTTATGACTGTTAGCTGTCATGCTAGCAATTAGCATTTTTAGTTCGCAGATTGTCAATAAAAAGCACAAGAAGAAGAAAATATTTGCTTTTTGTTGGCATCATGGCGGAGCCTGGAAATAAAATTCAAAGAGTGATGTCTTTGTAGGCTGAAACCGGAGTGAACATCGGCGCAGCCTGCACTAGTTTGAGGGAGCTAAAGGAGGGTACAATATCACAGGCTGATGGTTACCTGGCCTTCTTGCTACTGGACTTGTAAGTAATAATAATTTTGTCCAACACTGTGTCTGTTTTTACTTCATGGTTTCTTTTAGCATGTTAGTGTTAGCTCCTTGTTAGCACTAGCTACAGCATGCTCCTGCGGGGTTGTTTGCGACAGTTGTAATTGCACTTCCGAGCCTAAGGGTGGAGGATCTGCGTTTAACCCTACTTTCCTGCTGGTGGTGGTCGGAGGGACCAGTGGCGCCAGTGTTCGGCAGCCTTGCTTCTGTCAGTGCGCTTCAGGTAAGCTGTGGCTACATTGTAGCTCATCACCCCCAGCATGTGACTGTGTGCATGGGTGAATTACTAGATTTTTTTGCAGATGGCTCCTCTGATGGCGTTTCCTTGCCTTACCTTACTTGGCTCATCTGGACTCAGCCGAATATAAATTTTTACTGATGTGTGTGTGTGTGTGCATATGTCTGTTAATGTTTTTAACCTGTCAAGGGAATTTGGGGTCATTTTAATTTTGTAAAGCACCGAGTGGCACCTTGCTTGAAAAGCGCTTTATAAATAAAATCTGATTGATTGATTGATGATTGATTGATTGATGATTGATTGATGGTGCTATATGAATAAAGGCCTTTTATCATTTGTTGTCAGCTGGAAGTGTATAAAAACAGAGCTGTGTTGACTTATCAATAAACAGACCCCTAATGGCAATGAATGTAATAGTTATATTGTATTAAAACTATATTAGAAAATAATATAAAAGTATAATACAATGTTAGTTGTATGACATGTAAAAGACAACTTCATTTTTATAATGGTTCGTGCTGAGATTTATTAACAGATCATGTCTAACATCAAATCATTTTCTTGTTCTACTTCCAGGAATGAAATCGTGCTCCTGCTATTTCTCACGATTACAAAAGTAGGTTTTGTGTGATTCACCTGAGCGCTTGCTCATTTAATGCTTCACCTCAATATTCATTTGGGAAATACTTGTCAATCTAGGGCATGCACAGATTTAAAGATAAATACAAAGTTTTGTGAAAGAAACCTTAAATTCATAGATGAACAGTGTGTAAAACATCTCCATTAGCACATCAAGCAAGTGTTTCCATTTTTCAAACGTTACCAAAAGGACCTTATGAGAATTTTATCTTGTTGAAAAATTACTAGATTTAAATTCTGATTAGTGGATTGTACCTAAGTGAAAAAACAATTTTAGTATAAAAGAGATCCACATTTCACTTTGTACTTCCTTTGAAAATGAGTCAGTGACGTTTTTGATTAATTTGCCCTTCCGCTTTAATTTGTTTTAGAGTTGATAATTTGCATCATGCACACACAATAATACAAATGTAGTTCACATGCAGACTTTACATGCCTTCAGCCTCCAGCCTGCAAGCTTTCTGTAATAGTTCTGAGCATGCAGCAGTACCACAGATGACCAGCAGATGAAGCCGCCGCATCTCAAAAACAGACATCTCTTACATTACAGGTTGTTTTAGCATATATTGAATATTCTAAAGCAGTTTACAATAAAAACTCAGAACAAGCAAAATAACAGTTTTACACAGAATAATAAATACTGTTAGCTGTCTTATAATAGCTCTCTTCTACAATCATTCTTCATTACATTGTGGGGTTATAATTGCACTTTTTAATTTTTTATTACTTTAATTTTTATTTATTTTTTGCCAAGACAGGAGCACCATTTAACACTGTGCAAAGTTTGAAGCCACCTTAACTCCATCATTTTTGTTGTTGTGCACACATTCTCCCTGCTGAGTGTTTATCATTTTCAGCTGATATCAGGACTCTACTGAAACATGGGATAAAGAAGAAACTTTTGACTGATTGAAATTTCAAAAATCATCCATATAGTTCCCATGAGAAACACTTTTCTATTTGCTAAATAAGAAGAAGCACGTTGTGATTTTTAAGCATGACCTTTGTACAACAAAGTCTGGCATTTTGGAAACTAATATAAAGAAATAAAGAATGATTCAAAAATGTAGCATCAAACTGTATAGAGCACATGCAAGTTCTGTACTAGTTGCCTTGTTTCAGCTTTAGTTAAAAATGATCACATGTGGAGAAAGTCCCCTGACCTAACCATTACCACACGAGCTAAAACAATAGTCCAGATTTGATAAGATATGAATCTGCAATGTTTTGCCATTTGTAATTAGCTCTTTGAACCACCTCAGTTCTAAGACACAGTTTAATTTTGGCAAGATGCCAAGCTAACAGCTAGTTGAAGTCAATTTTTTAAAGCATTGTTTATTTTCATATTTTGTTTACAACTTAGACGTCTGTAGATACTTGCAAGTTCTAACTGCAGCATCAACTTTCAGGAGCACATCCTGTGCAGCCTGGAGACTTTTCTGCTGGAACACCCTAATATTCCTGCCAGAAATATGTGTAATGCCACACTGACAACAGTGAAAAGCTTCAATATATGTAAACTTCTTTGGACTGAATTTGTTTTACAACAGCAGCCATCCACTTTGGATAAGTTCTGTTGAATGCAGCTTTTGGCTTGTTTAGCTGGTCAGAGCTAACCTTTTCTCCAAACCGAGACCAATCAAAGAGCCATCTACAGCTGGTAAAGCCCTGTTCACACTGCAGGATTTTAAACTGTCGGACATTTTTCAAAGCATAAAAGACTCCACACGTGTGAATGGATGTCTGACTGTAGTCTAAAGCACTTTGTCTGAGTCTTCTGACTCAGAAAGGCGCAATTCAAATGCAGGTCACTTATCATTTATGATAAAAAATCATGGATATTCCAGTTTCAGTCACACAGTGAGTGATGGGCAGCAACTAGACAAATACTACACCCGACATATGAACTAATTTCACCCACGAACATTCTTCGCTCGTACGGGAAGTCTTGTGAGATAAAGTGTGACTTTAAAGTAAACAAACATGGCAAAAGAGGAGCGTTCATTGGACTTCCGTCACCTCACTTTCTGATTGCCTAGATGTCACATTCAACAGGCAGCACATTTGTTTGTCCCCGAAAATCAGACCAAGACCATCCAACATGTTTGAAAGATCATATTTATGATTGCAGTGGTCCCAACAGCCATGTGAGTGTACCAGAACACTCTTAACACAACACACAAGGTAGGGCTATCTAATAAGATTATCTTTAGAGCTGTTCGTTTGCAACCTTAAGCTTTGTTGGAGCAGGTGGGACAAGTCAACATCGGCATGGTTATCCTGCCGTGTGAACCGGGCTTTAGATGTTCATCGTTTTGAACCTTTCCACAGAAACACACTTTGTGACACAGAACTATCCTCTTTTGTGTAATCTGAGCTTTAGTGGGTTCTTCGGTTAACATCTCTTGAGAAAGGCTTCAGTCTAAATAATTTAAAGCTTTATTCTTGTCCCCAATGTTTTCTCCACTGTGCACCCCTTCAGAATCTCACTGTAGACCACTTCCACTCTTCTTTCAGTTCATTCTGTCTCCCTCCAAACTCCATGGAGCAGCAGGTCTCTTTGCTCCAGTGCAAGCTGAGAAATCTCTGGGCCTCCTGTCCGTTTCCTCCTCTTTCTCCAGCTCTGTCTGCCTGCAGCCCTGCTGGTTCTGGTTTGGGTTGTTTTGGCTGTTCCACGACTTGCTCCTGCTCCGGCTGGGCTCCAAGAACTGCCTGTTCTGGCTGCCACTTGGCTTGTAGCAAACGCCGCAAACCAGACTGAGGAAAGTCCGTCTCATCTCCCGACTGGCCAGAGTGTAAATGACCGGGTTCATGGCGGAGTTGATTATGGCACTGAAGATGAACCAGTCAGCGCTGTATAGAATGGGATAGCGTTGTCCACTTGCCACATCCACCAGGAGCAGGATGAAGATGGGAGTCCAGCAGACGATAAACACCCCAACCACAATGATGACAGTTCGCAGAAGGGACATGGCGTGCTCAGAATTGCTGTGCTTGTTCACCTTTCGGCCGCTGGACTTCACCAGGATGTAGATACAAGCATAAAGGACCGACATAGCCAATAGCAGTAGCGTGAAAACCGTGATGCAGAAAGCGACATATTTCTTGCTGTAAAGAGGAAAGACCGTGGAGCAGTCTGGGAGGTTGTCCAAGCAGTTCCAGCCTAGAATGGGCAAAGCTCCAAGAGATATGGCGATCAACCAGCAGGTCCCTATGAGTAGAAACACTCGGTAGTTCTTACTGGCATCGTACGGCCTCATTTTGATCATCGTCAGGTGTCTCTCTATGGCTATGGCCAGGAGACTGAAGATGGAAGCACTGAGTGCTACAAACATACTGCCCTCTCGGACAAACCAGAGGGTGGGTGAGAGCTCCAGGGTCCTCTCTCCAGAAAGGAGGAGGTTGACCAGGTAGACAACTCCAGCCAGCATGTCGCACAGCGCCAGGTTCCCAATGAAGTAGTACATTCGGTTATGGAACCTGTTGTTCCTCCATATGGCCACCAGGATGGTGAGGTTCTCCAGGACGATGAAGCTGCTAAAGACCAGGAACACAATGGTTTGGATGTCCATGGTACCTGGGTTTGTGCTGAAGGTCTGCCGGTGGCTCAGCTTTCCCGTGTAGTTGTAGTGAAGGAGTATCTTGTTCATGATGTCAGAGACTCTGGAGTCCACTCAGGTTCGGCTGCAGCACAGCAGAAAACCATTCTGTTTTAAAAAATCAAAATAGGACAACCCACAGGCTAAATAATTACTGCTTAGAAATGAACCAGAACAAACATTTCACTGATCTCTGCTACATGAGTAACGTTTCCATTCTGCTATGACATGACATGCATTGAGTGGTGTAAGAGTTTTCAATTCTCCCAGGGAGCCTGAACTCAACCTACCTTACATTCATAAATCGTTATCAGTTCAAAGTTAATCGCACCGAATGACGCACATGTCATAGCTGTGATGAGGATTTCCCGCTTCTCCGCCATTCGGGTTTTTTCTCTCGGTGAGAACAGCTCTTCGTCTTCCTCTGGTCTCCGAAAGTGTCCGGAGCTGTGGGGGAGCGCTGGAAGTCACTCCCATCGCCGCGTCCCTCCCTCTCCTTCCCCACGTCTCTCCATCCACCCAAACCCAGAGGCACGTCGGAACCAGGACGTCCGTGAGTTTAAAAATGCTGCAAACCCCCTCAGGGATGAATCAGATATGAACCCCCCTCCTCAAACAAACAAAAAAAAAAAAAAAAAAAAAAAAAAACTTTGACGCAGAACTTTTATTTCACTTTAGGTTTCCTAAAACAATCCCACAAAAGTAATTATTGTCATGTTTACCTGTAAAATAGACAAAAATATGATTTGCATGTGTAAAACCAACACCTGCTCATGTGGACACATAAAAATGTCTGCACACTTTATTTAGTTACTAATTTATTTCTTTATCAACTTATATTTTAGGAGGATAAAACCACTTGAGATGAATAATCTCATTTTGAGGGGGGTTCTCCTACAATAGAGCAAATAAAGCACAGGGAAAGTAACAAAAGATAAGTCTAGGACAAATATTACAAACTAAAAATAATTAACAACATATACATAAAAAATACAACATTTAAAGTGAAACCAACAGAAGCCAGCTATAATTCTCCTAATTCAGGTGAAAAAGGAAAACAATGTTAAGTTTCGCAAACAATATTGAAAACTAAAACAGACCAATTAGGTAAAAAGAAACAGAAAATGACATGCATTATGCTTTTATTGTAGAAAATCCACAGAATAAAACATATGGTGTAAAGAAATAGAGTCAAAAATGAATTATAAGAGAAAGAATATGTTTCAGACTAAGTCAAAGTTAAAGAAAAAGAACAGAAGCTTACAGTAGGCTTAAGAAAAGCAGTCTTGGACTCCATGACTGGATGAAAGTGATGTTTAGTGAAGATTTATGAGTCTGCATTGGAAAAAAGGGATTGTAGTGAAGCTGGTGTCTGGTGTAGGACCAATAGGACATAAAAAGACAGCCTGGAGAAAACAAATCTACAGTAATTGATGACATAGTGTGTCAGGTGACCAACCAAAGGAAAGGCAGTCATTACCTCAGCTTATTACAGCTGGTGCACTCTTTAAATCCCATAAATCAAAAACACATGTCTTTACTCAGAATGATAATCCGGGTTGTTGCAAAGAAAGATGGTTGTCGTGAGGATTGAGGAAGTGTCAAAACTGCAGAGGGAACAGAACTAATCCAAGCAGAACCGGGAACAACACAGAGAAGACAGAAGAAGAAGAAAAGATCTTTTCTATAGCGCCTTTCAAGATAAGGTTCAGTGGTGAAGAGCACATCTCTTGTCATCTTGGCGGTAAGGCGTTTCCTGTTTTCAGTGTTGCACTGCGTGTAGCTGTTTGGTGTTTGTGGCTCGCTAAAACTGATTTAATTTCTCTGTACTAGGATATCTCTGAGTTATTGTAGCACACAAGCACGCTAAAACACACATTTTCTGTTGTTCCACCTAGCTTCTAGGGAACCATTTGAGTTGGCACACAGTTAATTTGGTGTTGAACAGTTTGCTCGTCCAGTTAGCTTAGCCTCAGCATGGCTATGGCTACTTCTGTCTCTGCTTCTTCGCTCCAATCTCTTGCTCTCTGTGTCAGATGTTTTGTTACTCCTCTGCCTCCTTTAGTGATAATGGTATGTGTAATAAATGTAGCATTTTTGTAGCTTTGGAGGCGAGGGTGTCGGAATTGGAGTCCCGGCTCCGCGCTGTTGAAAAGCCCGTAAACGGCCGTAGCTACTTAGCTAGCATGGGGCTAACTAGCTCAGAACCACCCCGTAGTGACCCTCCAGCAGAACCCGAGCAGCCGGGACCTCAGGCCGGCTGAGTGACAGTACGTAGGAAGCATAGAACTCAGCCCGTGGGCCACCACCAACCCGTTCATGTTTCTAACAGATTTTAACCGCTCAGTGACGCACCCACTGACAAGCCGACTCTGATCATTGGCAGCTCCATAGTCAGAAACGTGGCATTAGAGACTCCAGCAACCATAGTTAAATGTTTACCTGGGGCCAGAGCGGGCGACATTAAATCTTATCTGAAACTGCTGGCTAAGGATAAGCGTAAATACAGTAAGATTGTTATTCACGCTGGCGGTAACGACACCCGGTTACGCCAATCGGAGGTCACTAAAATTAATGTTGCTTCGGTGTGTAAGTTTGCCAAAACAATGTCAGACTCTGTAATTTTCACTGGCCCTGCCTGATCGGACCAGTGACGACATGTTTAGCCGCATGCTGTCCTTCAACCGCTGGTTGTCTAGGTGGTGTCCTGAAAACAACGTGGGCTACATTGATAATTTGAAAACTTTTTGGGGAAAACCTGGTCTGATGCGAAGAGACGGCATCCATCCCTCTTGGATGGAGCAACTCTTCTTTCTAGGAACATGGCCAGTTTTATTAGTCCTCCATGACAACCCAGGGTCCAGACCAGGAAGCAGAGTCAAAGTTTAACACACCCCTCTGACTAGGGGTCTTAGCACACCTCTGTTGTTGCTTGGTTTCCTGGGGCTGGAGGCTAGGAGGGAGATCTGGCCGTCTGGTTGGGGTCTGGGGTGGTGGGTTGCTGTGCTCAGCGTTGGGCGGGGGAGCCTGCTCATCAGCACCCCAGCAGAAAGGGTCAAACTCTAGTTACCGGTGATGGTTGTACCCAATGTGCAGCAGTACCGGGACCAGAGTGAATAGGGTGTGTAAGGGGAGCATGAGTGGGTGTCCGGCGTGCATTTTTGTAAGTCTTGGGTTGTATGTGCATGTGTGAGCATGAGGGAGGGAGTGTGTGACTGTGTTTGTGTATGACTGTATATGTCAGGTGGGGCCTTTGACTCCTCCCCTCTCCTGGAACTTCTTTTGATGATATAGATCTTCATCCCCCCTCCCCCTTCCACACCTGGTGTGAGGGGTTGTGCCTTGTTCTGCCTGAGTGTTCGTGGCAACCGGGTCTGGGGGTTTAAGATTTTGGCATCTGCCTGATAGATCCCGGTGTCTGCCTGGTGGGGTCTGGGTCCCTGGGCTCTGCTGGGTCCCCGGCGGGGATGGTCTCCCCTGGGTCCCGGGTCGCTGGGTCCCGGGCTCGGCCGGCTAGGGGGTGGGAGGCTGCGGGCGGGCCTGTGGGCTTGCCGCTGATGTCTCCTGGGACTCTGCCGGCTGCTGGTTGTGGCCCCCCGGGGCGATCCTCCGTGCCTCTCGAGGGGGGCGGGGGCCTTTCTGGTTGCAGTCTCCTTGGGGTTCCTGTGTTCTGGGGCAGCGCCTGGATCTCTGGGACTTGGAGCTCCCCCGTCTCCTACGCATCTTTGGGGGGCGGAACTGTGGTCCCTCACAGGGTTCAGTGCTTGGACCAATTCTTTTTACTATATATATATGCTCCCAATTGGTAAAATCATTAGACAGCATGGGATAAACTTTCACTGTTATGCTGACAATCTCAGTTATATTTATCCATTAACCCTGATGAACCTTATTGGTTAGGTAGATTACAGGCTTGTCTTGAGGACATAAAAAATTGGATGACTCTAAACTTTTTGCTTTTAAATCAAGACAAGACAGAAGTTCTCATCTTTGGACCAGAAATCCAGAAAAGGAAATTTGCTTAGTCAATCACCTAACCTGAATGGCATTAAATTAGTCTCCGAGAACAAAGTAAGGAACCTTGGTGTTATCTTTGACCAGGACATGTCATTCAAATCCCAGGTTAAACAGGTTTGTAGGATTTCCTTTTTCCACCTTCGGAATATTGCTAAGATTAGAAGCATCCTTTCCAGGAGTGATGCTGAAAAACTAGTTCATGCATTTATTACATCAAGACTGGATTACTGTAATTCATTACTATCAGGAATCCACAGAATGTAGTTAAAAGTATTCAGCTTGTCCAAAATGCTGCAGCTAGAGTTCTGATGAGAATTAAAAAGAGAGATCATATCTCTCCTGTCTTAGCTTCCCTACATTGGCTACCTGTTAAATTCAGAATAGATTATAAGATCCTTCTTCTCACACATAAAGCTCTTAATAATCAAGCTCCATCATACATCAGTGATCTGATTGTTTCATACGTTCCTAACCGAGCACTTCGCTCCCAGACTGCAGGTTTACTGGTGGTTCCCAGAATATCTAAAATTAGGATGGGAGGCAGATCTTTTAGTTATCAGGCTCCTCTCCTGTGGAACCAGTTCCCAGCTTTAGTCCATGAGGCAGACACCTTGTCTACTTTTAAGACTAGGCTTAAAAATTTTTTATTTGATAGGGCCTATGGTTAAAATCTGATGTTAGCCTAGACCTGGACAAGTGGGGGAGTAGAGGGAGGTGGAGTGTACAGTCGGTAAAGACGGCTCTCCCTTGCCCTGCCTCCAACATGCTTCCATCTAAAAGGCTAGGTTATCCAGAGTTATCTCTGTAGTTATGCTGCTATAGGCTTAGACTGCAGGAGGACACACTGACCACTTTTCACACTCTACTACTTTCTTCTACAATCTGCTCTTTAACTGTATTATTTCCTGCTATTTCAGCTGTTGACTTTATTTGATCTCTAAGCATTTTTCTCCCCAGAAGAAGCTACAATGATGTTCTGCTGAGCTGTGGTGGCCTCATGGAGGGGGCCATTGTCTAGCACACTGCTGCTAACCACTTAAACTTTCTCCCTCTCCTGATAATAATTTTGTGCTTTCCTTGACGTTGGATGTGCTACTACTAGTTTACCTGTTTAATCATAGATTCACTAGGATAAATACAATAAAGTTTATCTCTCGCCAAATAGAATATTTACTAAGCAATCACAATGTAACCATAGACACATTGCTGTGTGTGTGTGTGTGTGTGTGTGTGTGTGTGTGTGTGTGTGTGTGTGTGTATGTGTGTGTCTGCTCTGTCTTCTCGATCCCCAGTGAGTCGTGGAGGATGGCTGCTTATATTGAGCCAGGATCCTCTGGAGCAGTGGTTCCCAAACTTATTTAGCCGCGCACCCCCTTCTATGTCCTGACCATGTCGACACACCCCCCAGCCCCCACATCAGGGCATGGCTATATATATATATATATATATATATATATATATATATATATATA